GTTCAAATACACACGACGTGGAAAATCTAATAACGATGGCATATAAGATCGGATTATTCACCACATCAAGAGGATACAGAGAAAAATTAAAGGGTCATTTCAGTAGATTTGGAAAAAAATTAACAAAATTCAACATCGATTCACGAAACTCTCTGGGGCAGAAAAGAGAACTCTGAGTCTGATACAGGCATCCCCAACCTGGAGCACCAGCGTCACACGAAGCTGGGACTCTGAAAGGACGTGGTGCCCTGAGCCCCTCCCTGACACCACGGCAGGGCCCGGCCCCGGGGGGACAAGCACGGGACTAAGACGGACGGGGACGGGGGCAGCCTGCTTGCTGAAGACGTGATTATGGACACAGAAGACAAACAGCCACAAATGTAACGCTTAAGATGTGACTTTAGGTCACGCATTAAAAGGTTAATTTTTAAAAACCAACTGTATTTCTACTTATCAAACAACCAAGTGTGGAAAAAATGTCATTTAGAAGAGCAGCAAAGTATCTCAGACCCCAGATCCCACGGGTTCTTGCTTCCGACCACGATGGGACGGCTGGACCTGCCCTCCAGCCAAAAACAGCCCAAACCCTGGCAAAACCTGCGGGAGACAAACCAAGAACAGCAGGGTGGGCCCCACCTGCAGTTTACCGTGGAGGTGGCACCACTCGCCACATGGCCCAGCAGCGACACGAAGACACGTTCCACCAAGTCCCACGGAACGTCGGCAGCGCCTCTGCTCATGAACGGACCGCTGCAGCCCTGAGCGCCCACCACGCGCCAGTCGACCAGCGGAGTCTGGGCCGCTGCTCAGCAGCACCTGAACACCCCACAGGAAATCGCCGGTGCGCCCCAGACACATCATGCTGGGCGAGAGAAGCCAGACGTGAGCCGTGTGCCGTGCAATTCCACCGAGACGATGCTCTGGGGGAGGCGGGACTGCGGGAGGGAGCAGGCGGGACGGCTGTAGCGGGCGCGGGGAAGGCAGGCACGCTGGGGAGGTGGAGTGTCCCCATTTGGTGTGGTCGTTCTTACACAGACCCCAAGAGTGCCCCTGCACCAAGCCCTGCGTGTGTCGGCTTCCTGCCGGCCTTCAAGAAGGAGCCGCCTCTGGGAGCTCAGAGCACCTGCAGCCGGCAGCCAGCGAGTACTCGGGGACCTCAGCCTACGGCGAAGTACTGAACCCCAACAACCTGGTGATCCTTCACCGAAAGGCTGGAACTGACATCACACAGGGCGAAGACTATGTTTTCCCCAGTGACAGAAAACAAGGCAAGGAGGTCCCAGCCGGGACGTAATGCCAGGACGAGAAACAAGAGTTCAAAGATTGGGGAAAAGAAGTAGAACTGTCTTCGCTCACACATGAGTATGTGCAGAAATCCTAAAGAATATTACAAAAAGTTACTAGAATTAATAAGTGAATTTAGCAAGGTTAATATACAAAAAACCAACTATTAACAATTGGAAAACGAAATTAAAAAGCAAGAGCTCATTTACAAGAGCATAAAAAGCATGAACCACTTAGGAATACACGTAACAAAGCATGGCGTGAGAGCTACACACCAAAAGCTACACAGCTCTGCTAAGGGAAATCACAGAGCGAACGCAGCGGAGAGCTGGACACACGCAGACACCGACAGCAGGAAGCCCGTGACCAGACAGAGGTGCGTGTCACAGCGGGACCCCTGCGGCGGCTGCTCGGACAGACCCTGGCTCTCAGATACGTGGAAGTGCAAAGGGCACAGAGGAGCTGAACAGCTTTGAGAAAGAACAGAGTGTGCGGACTTAGCACTACCTGGTTTCGAGATACACTGGGAACCTACAGTGATCGAGAGAACGTGGCACTGGCTCGAGGATTAGCGAAGAGATCGAAGGAACAAAACATGGTCCAGACACAGATCTTCTTCTTCTTCAACCAGCTGTGCTGGAGTAACAGAAGGAACCTCAGACCTTACCTAAGACCATACACAAATGTTAGTTCAAAATGGTTCATGCTTTTTAACTTTTGTTTTTATATAAACTTCTAGAGAAAGGCGTAGGAGAAAACCTTCACAACCTTGGGGTAAACGTGGATTTTTATGACATAGAAAGCACTAGACATTAAAAAAAATTCTGCTCACGCCTGTAAACCCGCATTCTGGGAAGCTGAGGCAGGAGGATCACTTCAGCCCAGGAGTCCGAGACCAGGCTGAGCAACATAGCGAGACCCCCATCTCTACAAAAAAATAGAAAAATTAGCCGGCCATAGTGGTGTCGCCTGTAGCCCCAGCTACTTGGGAGGCTGAGGCAGGAGGATCACTTGAGCCCAGGAGTTGGAGGCTGCAGTGAGCTGTGATGACGCCACTGCACTCCAGGCTGGGTGACAGATGAGACCCTGTCTCAAAACAAACAAACCTCTGCTCCACGAAAGACATTAAGGAAGTGAGGAGCTGAGGGACAGACTAAGAGAAAAGCTCACATCCATGAATATGAATCAGACAGAAGACACGAGTCAGAAAACATGAAGAGCTCTCACAATTCAAGACGCAGCCAATTAAAAGCAGACAATAAATCTTAAAACTCATTAATACTTCACAAAAGAAGACACAAGGATGGCTAAGGAGTACATGAAAAGACATTCAACATCGTTAATCACTAAGAAAATGCAAATTAAAATTATAATGTTTGGAATTTTCATTTACTACTAGTGAGAACGTGACGGGGCAGAGCCACTTTGGGCACAGTCTGGTGGTTTCTTTACCCTTTTTTTTTGAGATGGGGTCTACGAGAGCGGCACCACTGTGCCCGGCTAATCTTCTACTGTTCTGTGGAGACAGCGTCTCGCTCTTGCTCAGGCTGGTCTCAAACTCCTGGCCTCAAGGGATCTTCCTGCCTTGGCCTCCCAGCTGAGATGACTGTGCCCGGCCTCGAAGTTTCTTTTAAAATTAAACGCACCCTTAGCGCATGGCAGGTTTACTCCGAATAGCAAAACTGGAGACAACTGGAGTCCATCCGCAGGGGAGTGGGCACAGCTGCCAGCGGCTTGCCACTGGGCCACACAAAGGAGCCAACCCAGGTCAACCACAGACACGCAGAGCCGAACACAGGGTTCCTGCTACAGGAAATTCCGTCCCAGCTAAAACTCACCCACCAGGACAGGTGGGGCACGAGGGGCTGCAGGGCATTTCTGGGTGATGGAAATGTTCCCAATTTTGATTGTGATGGTGATTATACCGGTATGTGTGTTTGTCAAGACTAAAACCATACATTTAAAAGTAGTTTGTTTTACTGTATGCGAAGTAATTATAATAAAGTTGACCAGAAAAAAAAAAAAGCCCATTTGATTAAAAAAAAAAAAAAAACCAACAGAAGATATACAAGATCACACCACAGAAAACCGTAACCATTACTGGAGATGATCAGGGAAGACGTGAACACGTGAAGAGCTACGCCGTGTTCACGGACTGGCAAACAACACGGCAAAGACCTCGCTCTCCCCTGACCTAACCGCGGGGTCAGCGCAATCCCAGCCGAATCCCTACAGGAGTTTTGTAGAATTGTCCAGCTGATTTCAAAATTCACACAGAAATCAAGACGACTGAGACACTCCTGCGGAACTCGAAGGTAAGAAGATGAAAACTGCGACAATCAGGAAGACGCGGCCCAGTCCACAGACGGTCAGCAGACGGGCGGGGAGAGCCCCGGCGTGGACCCCGAGCTACGACAATGGCCGCACTTCTGAGTAGTGGGAAAAGGACCACGCTTTCCCACAACGGCGCCGAGTCGGGCAGGTATCAGCGTGAGGGGAGGAAAAGCGTGGCCCTGGCCTCGCCCCACGGCAGAACCACCACAGACCCAGGCGTGAAGGCAAACAGCACAGCTTCCGGGAAACACTCGGGTTTCCAAAAAACTTCACTAGGACCCTACAAAACCCAGAAAGTCCTGAGGACAAGATAAACTGGACTACAAGAAAAATAAGAACTTCTGCTCATTAAAAGACATCATCAAGGGAAAAAAGCCACACAGGGAAGAAGGCGCCTGCAGCACACACCAGTGACAGAGGAGCCTCTGCCGGCACACGTGCCACCGATGGACACGAGGCAAGTCGCCCACGGGAGGACCAGAACAGGAGGGCCTCCGTGCAGTGTGCACGGAACGCCGTCCCTCCAGGGCCCAGCCTCGCTGTGTGTGGACAGGAGCCTGAGCACCGTGACCTTCCGGAACTCGCCTCTCTTCACTGCAACACAAATCATCTCAGTTACTCCCTGAAGGTGACTGCAGGGGCCAAGGCCAGGTCGGCTGGGCAGCCCACGGGGACGCCGCCGTGACGGGGCCTGCCCGGCTTCGCCTGTTCTCCAGGGACATCGTCTACCCCGTGGTCTGGGGGCTGCCGTCAGAGACGAGGAAACCTCTCCTTCCCACCCACGGGCAGTGACTGCAGGTTTCTAGACAGGCGGTGCTGACTTCGGGAGCCGCGATGGGAGCCAGCCTAAGGGAAGGGCAGCGTGGAGGCTGGGATGGGTCAGCTGCCTCGGTCCTGCCTGGAAACCCCTGGAAACTAGGGTCCTGCTCTCTCCCCAACACGAGTCCAGCCCCTGGGGGTGGGGCGAGGGTGTGGGCTGGGGACACAAGGGACGCGCCGCTGTGCATACGCTCGACCCCGCCCGAGAGGAGGCTCCCTGCTGCTTCGCCCGGTCACTGTCAGACGCGCGTCCCCCATAGTTTCTCGGAGGCCTTGGGGGTAGCCGGGGCCCACCCTGGGATGGCCAGCGGGCTCTGGAGAACTGGAGCGCCACGCCTGAGGCCACACCCTGGCGCCGGGCGGACAGGCGGCGGCTTGCGCTCAGCCCCCAGCCAAGGGTCGCAGTTGACGGTGCCGTCCAGGCTGTGCCGAGCGGGGGAGCCCGAGCCCTCGCGCCTGAATGACGTCGCTAGGACTGGCCTTGCCAGGGCAGTCTCCCAGGCCCCACTGGAACAGACGTGTCCAAGGTTTAGCGCTCACTGCCAGCCCCTCCAAACGCTTACCTTGTTGTCGAGATCAAAAAGGTAAGAATCTTCCTCCCGAACGTCGGCTTCCGAGTCGGAGATGAGCTCCCCCACGTACCTGCAGAGGGAGGCGAGCACCAGGTGAGAACTGGCAGCACTGAACACCGCCAAGGACAAGCGTGTCGGCGCCTCAGTGCCTAAAACGAGAGAACGACGCCCCACACAGGCCACCAGCCGTTCTGGAGACTTGTGCCTGCGACTGAGCCAGGGTGTGACTTTAGTCCCAGAAGACAACAATGGCAACAGAGAGAAACGTCTGCGTCTCCGGCGTGGCAGACGGAGGACTCAGACGACTCTCCCCCGGAAGGGACTGACGATGTCAGGTGACATCTCAAAGGCACGCATGAGCTGGTGAGAGAGCGACCGAAGGAGGAAACCAGAGCGGTGGCAAAAGGCTGAAGTCAGCGGGGGCTTGGTTTGGGGGCACCCGACCGGCAGGCAGCTGGAGTGGCTGCCACCGGGCAGGCACAGGCCCCACAGCCCCCACCCGCATGGGTGCAGGCCAGGAGGGACACGCCTGTTCCCAGAGGGGCTTCCCGGAGCAACAGGCACAGGTGGGCCTTTGTCCCAGAAACGGCACATGCCGCTGGCAGACCCGGGGTGACCTAGGGACTCACTCACTCGCAGACAAAGGTGCCCAGTGGGATGTCCTGCAGGGACCGCACGCCCCAGCCCATGTCCCGCGTCCGATAGAGCTGCAGCCTTGCCCTGGAAAACATTGAGAGTGGAGCTGGCCCAGGCCACAGCCTCAGCCACTTGCCACCGAGGTCAGCAAAACCCAGCCATGGATAGGAGAGCATCAGAAAGAAAACTGGTTTGTATCTGACACGCTGGAACGTTGCAGGCGCCTCTCAGACGCGGCGCCTCACACTCTCAGGAAGCTGAAAGCCTGGAAATCAGCCTGGACACATCGACCCGTGACCTTGGCAGGTCACGGGCCCTCACTGTGCCTCAGTTTCTTCATCTGGGCCTAGTCCACCAGGCTGCCATGGGGACCAAGGGACCAGCCCTAGAGAAGCCCTCCCGCTGGGAGCCAGGCTGCTGCGATGCCTGTTGGCTTGGGCAGCGGCGTCCGCAACACAGACCCACACAGCCTCCTGGGCACTGGGCTGGGCGGCCGAGCAGCAGGGTGTGCACCGCGCTCCGCGAGGCCTCTGCAGATACTCTGAGGACCCCTCAGAGCCAAGTGCACCCTGTTTGTGTACGTGTCAGTCTACCATGTCCCGTGGGCACTGAGGGAGACAGAGCATCCGTCCTCCGCCCCCAGAACTTGGCGCCGCACAGGAAGCCAGTGTGGGCTGGTCGCTGGCACTCTGTTCTCCAGTCCAGCATGGACCAGGACCATGGAGGCCAAAAAAAACAGTCACAATGCTATGAAAATCAGCGTTCGGCTAAATTTACGGTGTGCGTAATTTTCCCCTGTAATGCGTGGACTTTAGGTTTTCTGATCTCAAGCACGTTCACAGAGGGACAGTTCGAGACCAGAGCCTGGCGCAGGAGCGAGGCGCCTGGAAGAGAAGTGAGGCCTGGCCAGTGCTGGGCGCTGGGGGAGCCTTGCTTGACCAAGAGCTCGCACGACTGAGGGACAAGGAGTCACGTGGTCTGAAAAGTGTCGGAACACTATCAACTCTGGCTGTTGGAGAAACATAAAGAATACAGAACGCTTAGAAAATAATTTGGGAATTAAAACAGAATTACGATGACCCTGATCCGCTGAAGAACGTGAGTGTGAACTCGGCGACAAAGGTAACTCCATGCCACGCCTGTCTCTGTATTTAGGTCAAACAAACTGACCGTCCGGTCCTCCTCTTGAGCCCAGTCTGAGTCTGTGGGAGCAACACTTGCAACTTACGGCACAGGCACGCTTCAGAGCATGGACGGCTCAGAGGTGAATCCTTGGTTCCACCCGAGCGCGACGCACACGCACACGCATCAGGCTCTGGCATGCCGGGGACGGCCCCCGCACTAACGCGCACTGTACGGGCGGACGCTGCCGGAGCAGAGCGTGGGGTTCTGCAGGAAGCACTCTCACCTGAGCCCGTTCTGCACGACGCGGTTCCGGCAGTTCCTCCAGCAGGAGCAGGCGTGGTTGCACTCGAAGATCAAGGGAGGCTCTGCCATGTTGAACTCCGGCAGCAGCCGGCCGTCCTGCGGATAGACGAGCCATCAGGGCCCAGGGGTGACTCACACTCTTTTTGAAGGAACTGACAACACGTTTTCACAAAGTGCCCAGTGCGGCCTCAAACTGACTTAAGAACGACGTTTCTTATCTTTAACACCTGAGGGAACACCAGGGTGAGACTACACACTTGCCGTCTGATGGGAGGCTCCAACCATTGGCCCTGCAGACGGTGGCTACAGAGCTTCCCTCACCCCTGACGGGCCGCCTCCGCCTGTCCTCTCAGCCCTGCTGAGGCCGCCGGCCACGGGGCCCTCCCCTTCCTCCAGGTGGTCAGTGCCTGCTTGACTCCCCCGCACCCTCGTCCTAGCTGCCCTGCAGCGCCCCAGCTCTGGAGGGACCCGGGCACCTGCCCTCCTGCCTGCGCCCCAACGCCAGGCGGGCACGGCCACACCAGGAGCAGACGGCACCGCGCAGGCCGCTCCAGCCTGACGACTCAGGGGCTGCTCTGAACAACGGGGCTTTCTTCAGTGTTTCAACACCCGTCCTGCCCGCCCCAGCAGGGCCTGTTCCCGAGGACACAGCACAGGATAAGCCCCCCGGCCACACACCCGCCTCACCCCTGCTCCCTCCTGGGGTCCCTCATTCAGGTGACAAACACTCCACCACCCACGGCCGTCCCCTCTTCCTCTAGAGCCCACCTTTGGGAAGAGTCTGCCTGATGCCTCCACTCTCAGCCTCCGGCTTCCGCTTCCACCAGTGACCTCTGACCTCTCGAAACCAAGAGCCTTCACACTCGTCTGCTCTGACGCTCTCTCCCTGAGCTGCACCTGGGCCACCAGGGGCCTCCTCTCCTCAGCCATCCTCACACCGGAAACTTCTAAGCCCGTGGTCTCCTCACACTGCATCCACCCACGCCACCCCGCCCAGCCCCAGCCTCTGTCTTTCCACCGGGCATCTCTCAGGCCACGCACACTCCATAAGCACAGGGCGGAGCTCACAGACCCCGGCCACAAGGACACTGACCCGCGGCTGAGCCAGGCCGACCAGCTGGCTCCCCCTGCCGCCGGCCAGGCAGCCCCAGAGGACTCCGTAGCACCCCTCAGCCCACGGCCCTGCCTTGGGGCCCGTCCCCTTCCTCCTGGGGCCACACCTGGCTCACCTCCACCTCCTTCCCAGAGCCGCTGGGACAGTCTCAGGCTAGGAGGGCCGCTCTGTGGTCTCCCCAAGTCCCGGCCCGCGGCACTCACCGCACTCACCGCGCAGGCTCGTCAGTGCACACAGGCGTCCTCACCTTATCGTACCAGCAGCGCATGCTGAGCTGGCCGCACATGCAGTTGCTAGAGGAGCAGTCGTCGATGCACACGCAGTACTGCGGACAGACACGCCACGTGGCCCTGTCAGCCGGGTGGCGTGTTCTGCTCCTCCCTCCCGGCCCAACCCCGTGCGGGGCCTGACGCTCTCTCCAGGACAGCAAGGGGGCGTGGGGCCTCTCAGGAAGAGGCTGTGGGGGCCAGCCGGAGGCTCGGGCCACGGAGACAGATGCTGCGGACGTGCGGGAGGGGCTGTGGACAGGACCCCGTAGAGGGACGTGGGGACGGTGGAGGGCAGAAGGAGCTAAGGAACCCTGCTGCCCTGGAGGGCAGGATGCGCCCTGGGAAAGGTGGGGAGGCGGCACCCACAAACCCTGAGCCACGGCCCCCAGGCAGCATCTGTCCTATGAGGACGGGCGAGGACAGCACTAGAGAACACATCTGGAACACGCATGGGGAGGAGCTGCATGGGGCCCCCTGGGCTCGGAGGCGGGAGCTGGACTGCACTGCGGCACCCAAGGCGCCTGGCAGGTGCCACAGGGTCCTCACCGGTGCCCAAGGAGGAGGCAGCGCCAGGCCAGGGGTGCTTGGCACTGCTTTGGGGCCGGCAAGAGCCCCTCGAGGGCCCTGGGCCGTGCACAACGTGGGACTTGGGACCCCGGTCCCGGCAGGATCTTTATCTGCCTTCCGGCTCTTTCCCAGCAGAGACTGCAGAGACAACAGGTCTTCCGGGAAGCCCCCCGGGAGCCCTCGCGCTTGGAGAGTGTGGGAAGAACCAGGGACCCCAGGCTCCCGAGCCGCCCCCCACCAACCTGCAGGTGGGTGATGTTCCTGTCGATGTTCATGGGGGAGGTCACGCAGCTCTGGGAGACGTACTTGTAGTTGCTGGGGCACGGCTCCCCGTCCACCGCGTTGACACAAGGGATGGGGATTCGCTCGTAGCCGCGAGCAATGTCTCTGCCACGGGAAAGGGCAGACGTCACCCTCCGCGGTGACAAGCTCTGCCCGGTGGGGGTGACACGGAGTGTGTGGCAGGGCACCAGAGAGCACCTAGACCCGACAGTGTGGACTCTGGCCTGGGATGTTTCAGCTTCAGAAGTTTCATTCCAAGTTCTCAACGCCCTGTTACATTATCAACACTTTGCTACAGAAGCGCCTTGGTTCCAGAACCTTCTCACCTGCTCACCGTCTTCTCCACGGGGACGGGCTTGTCGGGGGCCGAGTCTCGGAGCGCCTTGCTCATCTGCAGGGCTCCCCACACCTGGGAGTTGAGGCTCGCGCACTGCAGGGGAGTCTCTCCTTCCTTGTTTTTCAAGGTGACGTCTGAATCCCGAGAAAGAAAGAGGCTAAAAGAAAAACGTAAGCCAAGAAAACATTCAAGTCTTAACGTGAGAGATACAGAGATGAGATTTATAAAATGACTCCAATCACCAAAAATAAAGCGAACACTCTACTCATTCTGAAATATCTTTAACAGGTTTGCTCACCAATGATCCTACAAAGATTGGCTTTAACTCACCCAAAAACATTCTTCACTGCTCTCCCGCAGGTAACCAGTTGTTCAGCAGGAAGAGTGTGTCAAGAACTAGGGATGGTATTTGACTGTTCATTCAAATTCACCCCCAGGAAAAACGGGGAGCAGTGGTGGGGAATCGTGCATGGTCAGTGGCCCCAGGGCTCGATTCCAGCCCACGGGATCCAGGCGTGGCTGCTGTGTACGGAGCGCGGGCGAGGTCCCCATGTGGGAGGGCGCGTGCCCGCTGTGGGGGCCGTGGAGATAGCTCGACACCCGTTTCCCGGTGAAGTGGGGAGTCCCGAGGTTACAAGAGGAGGCAGCGCTCGGTCCTGTCCTGGGAGCAGTGGCCTTCCCCAGGAGCAGAACAGAGACTCCAGGCCAGGACCCTGACTGCAGCCGAGCACGAATGACTCATAGGAAAACGGTCTCAAGTTTAAAAAGGGCCCTGAGCTGGCACCGCCAGCGTCTCTGGCCCTGTCTGCGGGGGGTGCCCTCCCGGGCGGCACTCAGAGCCTCGAGGGCTCTGCGCGTGAGTCCCCCAGGAGCAGAACTGTCCCCGTGCCACCCCTGGCCCGCTTCTCGCAGCCTCCCAACAGGGTGTGAGATCTGAGACTCAGCTTGAGGTGTAACCTAAGAACTTGGGAATTTTTCGTGATGATCCCCCCCAAACCAGAAATAAACCACAGCCCATCTCAGGTGGACTGGACACTCTCTGCTGAGCGAACACCAGGACACTCTCCCACCCCAGCAGCACAGGAGCTGCAGCGACACGAGGGCAGGTGGCAACAGCCCGGCGCAGCGGCGGTGCCGCACTCACACGACACAGTCGTAGCGATTCTCCCGGGCAGCGATGTGCAGGGGCGAGTCTCCGTGGATGTTCACGGCGTGGAGATCACACTTGGCAGCCAGCAGGATCTCGGCTATGTCCACGCAGCCGGAGAACGCGGCCCAGTGCAGGCAGATGTTCTCCTCCTGGACAGAGACAAGTTGAGAGCCCAGTGACGGCGGTTTCCGGCCGGGAGCGGGCCGCCGGGGCTGGCGAAGGCGGCTGCCCCACTCGTTCACCCGAGGGGAAGCGTCAGGCGTTTAGCCAAACAGAAGGGGCTTCAGGGGTCGTCGGAGAGGAGCACCAGGTGCCCATCTGAGTTCTACAGGGCACTTCCTTTCTGTTTTATTTCTCCGTTATAGAAGTGATGTAATCACAGTACAGAATATTTTAAAAATAGAAAAAAAACCACCCAGAGTTATACCACCCGAAACACAACAAGCTAACACTTAGGGGCACTTTTTTCCACGTCAAAAATTACATTCATTCCCAGAGTTACAGTCACAGGATAGGTGATGCTTGTGTTAACGTTTGAAAAAGATGGGCACATTAGATTAACATTTTTCTTTTAAATCCTCTATAAAATAAAAAATTTTAAATAAAACAAAGAAAAGTTGGAAAAATATTTGGGTGACACGTAAAATATATATGACTTATAATTGCCCTGTGAGTTTATTTATTACTGTAATTCTGAAAAATAAATGTGCAAAGGATACGAAAATAAAACTTGCATAAGAAAAAGAGTAAACCTAAACACGAGAAAATGTTCAGCCCTGCCACACAGCCGGGAAACAGAAACCAAAGCAGCGAGGCAATATTTAACTCCATCGCACTGGGGATAAAGTGGCCGTGAGTGAAATGACAAGCGCACCCACGCTCGCTCCTGCCTGTCCCATCTGCCCCGACCTCCACCCGTACCCGCGGCTTCACCCGCGGCGCGCTCACTCCGGCAGGTGCCGTCCACGCCACGGACGCTCGGTCGTCACTTGCTGGTGATCAAACGGCCCCTCGACTCAGGACTTCCCTTCGCTGAACACCCCCCGTCCGTTTCTAACGGGATCTAACGCCACTGAGCACTGTGGTGCTTTTCCATTTCCGAGTCATTTCTCCAGGGACTGTGGGTTTGGAGGACATGAACGTGTCGCCACCCTGGGGCGGCCTCTCCTCCACGGCAGCGTCGGAGTGTGCAGGCTCCCTGAGGCCTCCCTCCTTCTGGAATCGTCAGTGATTGTCACAGACGCCATAAGCAGAGCTGGGCCTGACCGTCGCTCTGTTCCAGGGGCTACAGGCGGCTCAGCACCCGGGCAGACCCAGCGCGGCACTTGCGGCCTCTCCCCGCAGACCCTGGTTCCCCTGCATCTGCCCTAGACCTGTTCTCCCCGGGGGAAGCCTCAGCCCCACCCAGGGACCATCGCAAGGACCCTCTGCGGTCCTCAGGGTGTCGTCCCCAGGGAAGAACACTCCGGTGCTCTCACACAGTCTCCCGCCCAATTTCCACACTGTAAGGTAAAATCAGTGCTTTTCAGCTCAATGAACCTTAAAAAAGCTAAAAACAAAACAAAAGCAGAGTGGCCCTGTCTCTGCTGCCCTCAACAGCAGACAGCTCCCAGCCCCAAGCACAGGCTTTATTGCTTCCTCCGCTTCTAGAAGAGAAAATTAAAAGCAAACTCCTTTTGTCAACCTCAGATCTTTCTGGAAAACCTCGGCTTATCTGGGGCATTCTCCTCTGATGTTATTCTGAGTAGCTTTTCTCTCTCTGGTCTTTGTTTCTGGTTTCCATCCCGCATACATGCGGAAGTTCCCTGAACAAAACACTATTTCCTTGGGGGATTTTTTCTTTTTCTTTTATCAGAATGATTTATGACCTCGTGACCAGAATTACATTTTTGAGAACTTCCAGTTGCCCTGCCCTGGGGGTGTTCAACTGCCTAGCCTTTCTGAAGTCTGCTGCTGAGCCAACGGGACTGGCCCCACCGCTCCCGCTGTTACAACGGAGAGGACGTCTGCTTTCTGCAGAGGTGCCTGACGCAGACCACAGTCCCTGCGAGGTGGGCAGGAGGGCCTGGACAGACTCCCCCACGGCACAGGCAGGGACCAGGCTGGGCCCTGGTGCTCAGAACAGAGGCCAGAGCTCCCAAAGAGGCTCTGGAGACCAGTGGATTCCTGCCCGGGACAGCCAGCAGTGGTGGCCACGTCCTGTGAGGAAGTGCCCCGAAGCCAGGGCCCACTCCCCCAGCCAGGTAGGAAACACTCCCGGCCACAGGCCGAGGCTGGAGGACACAGGAGGGACCTGCCTCCGTGGCTCCAGACCCACCTAACAAATCTGAAAAGCAAAATCCAACATCAGACCAATTTCAAGTAACTCAGCTGCTTCCCAGAACAAAGCTGAAGAATATTTACAAGAGGATAAAAATCCCCAGCACCCTACAAGGTAAAATTCACGCCTTCTGGCATCCAGTCAGAGGCTAACAGCAATCAACGCAGCAGCAGGAGACAGGACCCGAGACACGACCCGTGAGGAGGAGAAAAAGCAATGGGTGGAAACCCAGGGCTGACAGGGAAGCTGGAATTAGCCAACCCGGTCGTCAGAGCAGCTGGTGTGATTGTATTCTGTATGCGCAGCACTTAAGACATGTTAGAAAATGTTCAAAAGACTCCAACGGAACTTTTAGAGCTGAAAACCACAATGCCTGAAATGAAAACATACTGGATGGGATTAACATCACAATCTGCACTGCAGAAGAAAAAATCAGTGTATTAAAAGCCACACCAATAAAAACCAGCTAAACTGAATTACAGGGTGAGAAAATAATTTTAAAAAATTGAAAAGAGCATCAGTGAGCCGTGGAACAGCTTTAAGCTGTCTGGAACACCCGTAACTAGAATACCTGCAAAGGGGTGGTAGGCAAAAAACACACTGGAAGAAATAATAATCGGAAAATCTCCAAATTTGACAAAAACCCTAAATTCACAGATCCAAGAAGCTCAATGAACCCTAAGCACAAATAAAATAAAATAACACCAACACACATTGATAATAAAATTCCTAAAATCTAGTGACAAAGAAAAAAATCTTAAAAATATCCATAACCAGGTACAGTGACTCACACCTGTAATCCCAACACCATGGGAGGCTGAGGCAGGAGGATCACTTGAGCCCAGGAGTCCAAGACCAGCCTGGGCAACAAGGTGAGACCCTGTCTCTACAAAAGATAAAAAAGATTAGCTGGGCGTGGTAGTGGCACCTGTAGCCCCAGCCAGTGGGGAGGCTGAGGCAGGAGGATCGCGTGAGCCCAGGAGTTGGAGGCTGAGTGAGCTGCGGTTGCCCCAGTGCACTCCAGCCGGGGTGACAGGGCGATACCCTGTCTCTAGAAAACAAACGGCCATGAGGAAAAAGGCGAGCTACATGCAGAGAAACAGAGACAAGGATGAGAAGAGATTCCTCGTTACTGCAAGTAAGAACCCAATGCTTAAAGCACTTAAAGAAACAAAAGGCCACTTAGAATTCTACATCCAGTAAAAATATGTTCGCAAAAATGAAAGCGAATTAAGGACTTTCTAGGCATTAAAAAGCTGAAGGAATTCGTCGCGAGCAGACCAAGACCACCAGAAATGTCAGAGGATGTGAACTGAGCAGCAGGAACGCGTGTCGGGGAAGGGAAGCCGCGTGGGAATGGCAGGAGCAAGTGAGGCTCTTTTATTAACGCAGCCTTTTTAAAAGATCATCGACTGTTCAAACAAAATAAAAACACGGTTACTGTGGTATTTAAGTCGTATGTGTAAGCCAAACGTGTCAGAGCATCAGCATGAAGTCTGGGAGAGGAGAAGGGGAAGGGGCCGTGGAAGGCTCTTCTGCTCTGTGATTTCAAGACCTGCTGCGAAGCCACATCCATCAGGACAGCACGACGACGCCGATGCCGGCGTCCAGACCGACAGTCAGCGCGGCAGAGGAGAGAGCCTGGAAGGGACTCACACGGATGCGGACAGAGGTGCACAACGACCCCTACGGAGCAAGGACGGCTTTCTCGACAAGCGGCGCTGGAGCTGGAGGTCCACTCAGACGCCACACCAGACACCAGAACTAACTCGTCACAGAGCACAGACCGAAACGAAAACCTAAAACCACAAAACCGTTATAAGAAAATGTCAGGCGATGATTTCTTAGAAAGAACATCACAAGCAGGATCTATTAAACAAAACCGATAAACTGGACTTTATCAAAATTAAATAACTTCTGCACTTCCAAAGACAGATTCGTAAAGCATCTCTCTGACAAAGGACTTGTATTCAGAATACAAAATAAAGTCTCAAAACTCAAGAATAAGAAAATAAACCACCCAATAAAAAACAAGCAAAAGATTTTACCAGATCCTTCACCAAAGACGTATGAGTTTATAAAAAGATGCTTACCGCCACTCATTGTTACAGAAATGAAAACTAAAACCACGATGCTATCACGATACACCTACTAAGGGGGCTAAAACCAAAAAGACCGGCCACACTACGCGTCAGGGAGACTGTGGAGGAACGGAACAGTGTCTAAAAACAAGTCAAACACACACGCTCACCGTGCGGCCCGGGTACTCTGCTCCTAGGTGTCGAATTGAGAGAAATGAAGGCAGGAATGTTCACAGCGGCTCAACTCGTAACAGCCCCGAACCAGAAACACCCCGAACGTCCACCGGCAGGTGCGGGATTAGCTGTGACTCGTCCACACGAGCAAACGCTCCGGGGCCACGAGAAGGGGCGGCTGACACGGAGGCGTGGAGGAGCCACAGAATCAGCTGTTTGGAAACAGCCCGTGGTGCAGGCTCCTTTCCCACGAAGCTAGAACAAGCAACCTAACCTGCAGTGGGAGAAGGCCACACACGGACGGCTGGCGCGGGCGAAGAGTGGCAGAAGGAAATTTCTGGAAGTGAAGGAGGGAGGCAGTCGCTGTCTTGATGGTGGTGACGGTTTCTGGTGTTGAAACTCACCCAGCTGTATGCTCTGAACACGTGCAGTCTACCCACCACGCGTTAACAAAGTGGTTAAAATAATGAAGGGTTTCAACACATAAATCACAAACGTGGAATCTGGTCACTTCTTCCATGTCGTGGGAACGGCCACCGGCACCAGAGCTGACCCACCGGCCCTGGTCCCGCTCTGCGCTGCCCCCGGCCACAACAGTGTGTGAGGTGGGGACCGCGGCCGCCGGCACCACCACCCCATCCCTGCGCGGGGCGGCAGCGTGAGTGAGGAAGCCACAGCCAGGTGACCTCTGCTGTGGTGACGCGAGACTGCGTCCCACTCTGCTTCCCGCATCCCAGCACCCTTCCCGCTGCCGTCCACCGCTCACGGCTCCTCCCACGCAGCGCCACTGTCCGCACACCGCAGGACAGACTCTGACGGGACGGGGACCAACCGCCGCCAGACGCGGAGGCCCCGGGCTCAGAGCTGCACGGCCGAGGACCGGCTGTCCCCTGTGGCCTGCAGGGGACAGGGCCCCCTGGGCCCCCACACGCGTGGCGTCTCACAGGGCTCTTTCAGACGTCATCTCTTCTGTGTCAAACCTGCCTCCTTCTTATCAATTTAACGAGTCTACTTGTGGCTGGACCTTCCATTCGAGGCTTCCGGAGACTCTGGGTAAAGGTGGGCGCACTCTTCGGGCTGACCCGAGGGCTCCTGCCAGCACGGGGCCCCACCAGAGCCCAGCTTCTCAAGGTCACACCCACATCCACGCTCGACCCTCCTGCGATCCTGCTGGTGCTATGGGTCCCTGAAGACCCTCCAGGGAATCCTCCCTTTCGGGGTAATCGGAGCCTCCCGCTGCTGCTCACCTGGGCTGACGGGAGCCGCCCAGAAGGACTGGCAGGTCCCACCTGGACCCCAAACCTGCAGCGCTCACCACCAACACCGCACCCTAACTAACAGTGCGGAAAACCACGGCAGGATCAATCCTTCTCCCTCCCCTAAAGTAGCGAGTACAGGTGGAGCCGGCGGTGACCACGGCCACATTCCCTGGGTCGGCAGCACGTGTGCATCGGCAGGAGGGAGCGCGAGGCAGCGGCCGTCTGAAAGCGCAGATCGTGCACAGGGGCCGCGTCGGCCCGGACGTTGCGCCCTCCGTTAAACCCAGCACAAAATAACCACAGGAAACCGCACTGGGCTGTGAGCCACTGACAGGAAGAGGTCAGAGGTGCCACCATGTGCTTGGGCTCTGCTTCGGAGAAAAAGGAACCTTCCGGAGGAGGATGCCTCCAGCCGGACGCTGCTCCCCGGGGCCCAAGATGCATGACGAGAGACTCACATTGTCCCGGATGTTGATGTCCGAGCCCTTGGACAGCAGCAGCTTCACAAGGTCCACGTGCTTGTACTCGGTGGCCCAAATCATGGGCGTCCAGCCGCCATCGTCCTAATTCCAAAAGAAGGAAACAAGAACCTGGCACAGCGGCAGAAATGAGCAATCTCAGTGACGAGGGGGCCCCGTGCTGAGGCCCCAGGCCCCGTGCCCAGTGCACACGGCTCCCTCGGGCCTGCGGGGCGGCCCCAGGATGTGGGGTCAGGCCTTGGTGCGCTGCCCCAGGTAGTTCATCGAGCACAGGATGAAGGCAGGACCGGGACCAGGTCTGACCAGGCAACACAGCCCCCACTGCCCTGGGGGGGGCGTGGAACTGCCGGTCAGCCCTGCCCACTCCAAGTCAGGTACCTCTGGGGGAGCATCTCCACACCCCTTAGCACATCTGCTCTAGAAACGCAAGCAAGGGAACCGGAAACGCAGCGAGCCAGGCAGGCGCAGAGCGCCAGCGGTCCGTGTCTATGGGACGCCTGCTTGGCGTCCCCTCTGAGTCCCCTTCTGTCCCGGACGACAGACTCCAAACACCAGAGCCAGCCTCAAAGCAGCAGTCAGGGACGGCAGAGACAGGTACACACCCAGGCACAAAGACCAACACCCCTGCCTCTTCTGGAAGGGCCTCCCCCAACTTTGCCCAAACCCCCCGAGCCCCGGTCCTGGGGAATTTCATTCAAGCCACAAAAAAGGTGACTTTTTAGGAACTGAATGTCATGTTGCCAGTTCCTAGTCTGGAGGCAAAAACTCAGCCTCCTGCCCAGCACCTCCAAGAGGGCCGCCTGCACGGCCCACAGTCCACACTGCTCTGCAGACACGCCAGCCCGCGATGACGCTCACTCTCCCCTGCAGGTCCCGGGGACACAGCAGGGACCACACAGCGCCACCACCCAGAGCCCAGCCCCGGGGGACTCACAACCACCCGACTAAATGGATATGAGAGGAGCGGAACACAACAGTCGGGGGTGCGTCAGACGGCGAGGGCAGGGAGGGGCCCCCCCCATGACCTGTCAGGGAGGATGTGAGGCTGTGTGTCTGGGAGCACTGCGCAGGGAGCTGCTGTTTCGGGCCTGTCTGGGACATCACCGTGGCCATGACGGCACGGGAGCCGGTATACAAACACCTCGCGGGCGAAGCCTGGCTCAGGACACCACGGAGCCCCCCGAGGGCGAGGAGCAGGTGTGGAGAAGGAGACGCGTCCCGACCCGACAGTTCACAGCAGGGACCCCAGTGCCCCTGACGCCCCGACGCCCACCCTCCTCTGGTCTCTGCAGCCACTCACTTGTGCAACAGACACCTCCAGGTGCCCACCTCGTGCCAGCCACTGACCAGGCACCACAGATCACGGCGCAGGTGAAACAGACCAGAGCCTGCCCCGTGGTGCTGGCAGCGGGAGAGACAGGCGGGAGGATGACATGCACACGTGCGCACACACAGACAGACACACACACACAGACACACACACACACACACACACACACACACACACACACACACACGAAGGCCAGTGCCCAGGACAGACCAGGCAGGGAAGGCGGCTGGGTGCCCTGGAGGGAGGGCAGGCGCCTCACTCAGGCGGTGCTGTCTAGACACAGAGCTGGTGGAGGCCGGGGCAGCCCAGGCAGACACAGGGCGAGCGGGGAGGGGACAAGAGCTTCCAGGGCCTTGCAAGCGAACCCTGCGGGTGTAAGTGGGAGCCGTGGGGCAGGAAGCTGGGCCGGGAGATGGGGAGGGACGGTGGCTCGGCCACCTGGCCAGAGTGGCTGAGACAGGGCGCGGCCTTACCTGGCAGTTGACATCCATCTGTCCGTTTGAAAGCAGATACTGCACCACGTCGTAGTGGCCTTTCTTGGCAGCCAAGTGCAAGCACGTGGAGCCTTCTGCATCCTGCAACATGAACGCCACTTAGGTCCAAAGAAAGCGCGCTCCGACTTCAGCGCGCAGGCCCTGCATGCGGGACCACAGAGGACTCTGCTCCCTGCCACGAGCGGTGCGGTCACTGCCCTGCTGCAGTGACAGGAGGCCCAGGCCACCCAGCCACCTGCCGCTCCTTCCGGGCCCCAGTGAGCTCACGGCCACACGGTAGGTTTCAAACAGTGCAAATGATTCAGGAAGAGCAGCCTCCGTGCGGCAGGGTTCACAGTGACCGATGGGGGAGGCAAAGAACACGGGTGAGCCCACCCAGGGCCCCATGGACCACGGCACTGCGGCCTGCCTGCCTGTTTCCGTGTCCTCTGGCTGCTGGGCAGGCCTTCTCGTGGGCTGTCAGCTCTGCGTCCTCACGGACGTTAAATGGATCGCACCGTCCAAACCATCTCAAAGCGGGGAGAAAACCACCCAGGGAGCTCCAGGAGACGCAGGAGAGCCAGCGCCACCCGCTGCACAGGAGCGGCACCGCCCGAGGGCTCCTCCCGCCTGCGCAGCACCAGGACCCGCGGACACACTCGCGCCATCCTCTCCCCATGGGTTTTCTCTCTCCGTCCCTGTCTTTGTGCTGATCACGTTTATCACCTTCCTCTCCCTCGCTCCTACCGTCAGCGCGGCAATCCTAGATCTTAACACACATCGTTAAGCTTATTTCTCGTCAAACGGTGTTTGCCGGGACACCCCTTTCTCCAGAAAAGCCTGCACAGGGATCCCCACAGGAGTGGTATCGGGCTCATCATTTTATCTCACACACCGTACGGCTGTCGGTCTAACAGTCGCCTTCCTTTCAAATGTCCTCGGTCACTGGGGTAAGCACGGCCGAGATACCCCGGAGGGTCCGCAGGGCTCAGGCAGACGCAGGCGCCCAGTGGGGCCGAGACTGGTGCTGCATCCCGGTGAAAGACACGCTCGAGGAGGGGGTGCCCCAGTGGGTGTGGCCAGGCCCCGGACGGGGGCAGAAGGTGGGGGCGGCAGAGTGGAGACCCCCATGGGAATGAGCCATGGGGGGGCTGGAGGGGTAGTGAAGTCTAGGTGCCCACGTGGGGGCTCGCGACACCACCCTCACGGCCCCGCCTGTCCCAGGGAAAACCCCACACAGCGCCCCGTTCCCAGGAGAAAGATCACCGTCCTGGACACATCGTTTACCATCCTGACACACCCGACACTCGCACTGTGCACGTGTCCACACCTGCTGGTCTTCCCTGTTTTTAGATTATCCACATCAACTGTCCATAAATTGTCCAACATCGCCTCGTTGAACATCCTTCTGCAATTCCCATTTAGCGTCACGTGGTATATTTGAGATTTATCTTTATATGTAACAGGCAGCCCTTGCTCATTTATTTCAGAGGATGTAAAACTATTTCCACTTTATACATTCCTCACTGAGGAACAGTCGGTTGTCTCTGACTTTTTGCTGAGGATGCACCGAGGACTCGGTTTCCCAGGTTACGTGTGCGAGAGCTGCACGGGCATCTCCTGAGCGCGGCTGCGTGTCAGGCAATGCAAAGCCTCAGAGCGACCGGCAGTGACCACTGCTCCCCAGGGGTCCACAATCCCCACCGGCAGCAGCCGCACGGAGGGGCTGCGGCTGCCGCCCATGACGGGCATCTCCAGCACTTACGTTTTATGTAATCCGATGACTACAAAATGGTATCTCGGGCTTGTGTTCAAAAGGCTGAGGACTCTTCCCCTTGCTTATCGGTCCCTTGTATTTCGTCTTCTGTGAATGGCCTGTTTATGTTCTTTGCCCAGTTTTGTTTTTTCTCGTTTGCGGTCGTTTTTGGACAGGGGTCTCTGCCAGCATGCCGCAAGACCCGCCCCAGCCTGCGACCGCTCCGCACGCAGCCTGTGATATCTTCTGTTGAACAGAAATTCTTAAATTTTAATGCACTTAACTTTATCAGTCATCTTTGTGCGTTTATATGTCTTGTTTAAGAAATTCCTCCTTGTACCCAAATCACCAAGATGATATTCTTTATTGCTTTCTAAGAGTTCTATAATTCTGCCATTTTCCTCTGATGCCCACGCTCACCGTCTGCACGGCACACGTCTGTCCAGCTTCCTGCTTTCACACCTGCGTCTGCACGTCTAAAGCAGCGTGTGTGGGACGGGGCTGGTTCTTGCTCTTCACCCAGTCAGACAAAACCTCTGCCCTTCCCTGCGGAGTTCGGTCTGCACCCCTGTGCGACTGCCAGCAGGGCCAGGCTACACCGGTCACCAGCTATTGGTTTCTACCTGTTTTAATTCCCTTTCCGGCATTTCAGTTGCACAAATTATTTTTCAGTATTTCATTTCACTTCCTCTATTCGCTTGTTTTTCCATAAAGCTGTATTTCTTTCCATGTTTTTTTTTATTTTATTTCTTTTACAAACTATTTGGGGGGGGGGTCTCCCAGTGAGGACGGGAAAACCTGCTAGACAGACTCCGAAAGCGCCGTCACGCTCCCTGCACGCTTTGGACCCCGCGATTGCCCATCGGCCCATGGCAAGCCCATCTCCCGTCCACGGGAAGTTGCAGCATGCGAGCCCACTGACCCGTTAGGCAGAGGCTCCCTGCGGGGCCGCATTTGTGCACGCTCTACCTTGAAACATCATTCCTGCTTTACATGGCCTCGTGTCCTTCAGAAAACTTGCGGGGAGAACTTCCGTGTTGGCCACGTCTCGTGCTTCTCCTTCATTCCCGGGGTTGTATCTTCCTTCCGGGGCCTGAGCAACCCTTTTAATGCAGACCCACTACTGAGTCTTACCAGCTTTTGTTTTAACAGAACACATTTTATTTCACCCTCATTTTTTTTTGAGACAGTCTCACTCTTTTTGCCCGGGCTAGAGTGCCGTGGCGTCAGCCTAGCTCACAGCAACCTCAGACTCCTGGGCTCAAACAATCCTTCTGCCTCAGCCTCCCGAGTAGCTGGGACTACAGGCATGCGCCACCATGTCCGGCTAATTTTTTTCTATATAGTTTTTTAGTTGTCCGATTAATTTCTTTCTATTTTTTTTTTTCAGTAGAGACGGGGTCTCGCTCTTGCTCAGGCTGGTCTCGAACTCCTGAGCTCAAGCAATCCGCCCGCCTCGGCCTCCCAGAGTGCTAGGATTACAAGCGTGAGCCACCGCGCCCAGCCTCACCCTCATTTTTGAAGAATATTTTTACTGGATATAGGACTCCAGGTTCACTTTTTCCTTTTAGGTGTTTTCTTTCAACACAGCAAAGACGTCGTCCCCCTGCCTCCTGGCCTCCGATTCACATGGGAGGTCAGTGACGTTTTATTATAAGTCATCTGCCTGTATATGTAACATTCTGCTTTTCTCTGGCTATTTTTAAAGATGTTCTCTTTATTGCTGATTTTCAACAGTTTAAGCATGACGTATTTAGGTGTAATTTTTTTTTTTATTGATCTTACCTGGAGTTTGCTGAGTTTCTTGGACCTGTAAGTTGCTGTTTTTCTCCAAATTTGGAAAATTTATGACCATTATTTCTTCAATGCACTTTTTTCCTACTGGGTTCTCTCTCTCCTGCCTTTCTGGGACTCTGAGTGTGCGTGGGAGACGTCTGATGCTGCGCTGCAGTCTGGTCTGCAGATCGGTTGAGGTTTATGGACCAGTCATCATTTCCACCCTGACCCTTCTGCCTACTCCATCTGTTGCTCAGCTCATCCGTGAATTTCCCACATCAAACATCTGCTCCAACAGCACCGCTGGGCCTGCAGCTCCCTCTCCAGCTCTGTCCCAGAGGTTCCAGCTGCTTCAGCAAAGCCCCGAACTCCTCCAGTCTCTTGCTTCTTCAGCTCGGTGGACCTCTGCTCGGGCACCAGCTGAGGCGAGGTTTGGAACTGTCCCCCGGCAGACGGTGGGGCAAGCCTGGAGCCTTCTCCCCCAGCATGAGGCCAAGGACCACGAATAGTTGTCTACAGCTAGTTACAGAAAAATTAAGGCTGCCACATCTCAAAAGCCACCAAAACCAAGGTAAAGGACTAAATACCAACTTGAAAAAACGTATTCGTAACATATGTGAATAACTATATACAAAAAATGTTGACTTTAACAAGAGCAAATAGTAAAGAACAACGCCCAACACTTGCGCGTATCCACCTTACCATGGACCTGTGATGGCACCTCAGGTGGGAGGCGGGTGCTCAGGCCCCACTGGGGAGTTTAGAAAGAGGTAGAAAATGCTTTGGAGATGTTTATGTTTTTTGTTTGTCTGTTTGTTGTTTTTTTGTTTTGTTTATATGTTTTGATCCAGCAATTCCACACCCAGAAATCTGTCCTAAAGAAGTCAAATATGTGCAAAAATTGAGCTATGAAAATGTTCGTTGAAGCACTGTTTATAATAGAAGTTGAAAATAAGATAAATATTAATCAATATG